CCCTTTATTCATCAGGGGTCGCCACAGCGGAATGAACCGCCAACTTATCCTGCATGTTTTACACATTGGATGCCCTTTCAGCTACAACCCATCACTGGAAAATCAAATGTCTTATACTATGTAATTTGCATATTATTATATTAAATTGCATATAACAGGGGTGTCAAACTCAATTCCTAGAGGCCAGGAAGTGACAAGCCCTGCACAGTTTAGTTCCAACTCTGCTCCAACACACTTACCTGTAGGTTTCAAACAAGCCTGAAGGACTCAATTAGTTTGATCAGGTGTGTTTAATTAGGGTTGGAATTAAACTGTGCAGAGCTGCGGCCCTTTTGGAATCTTGTACTTACATCTTGTACTACATGAGCACATTTCAGATCCCTTAAGATACAAAAACTAGCTGACCAGACGAAGGAACTGGCAAAAATTCAAAAACGGGTAAATACAAGGACAGGGTAGGAGTGCTAACAAGTGCTAACAAAAACGAACACAAACAGGAATCCAAGAATAATAGTAATACAAAAACTAGATAACCAGACAAACATACCAGACGTGAGAAACAAAATCCTAAGGCAACTTAAACAGAGAACAAGAGGGTTCATAAAGACAGGACTAAATGAACAAACACGAAACAGCTGTAACATAACAATCAGTAATACAAAGGATTATGGGAAATGAAGTGAAACTACAAAACAAACTACTGCCCTCAAGTGTCCAAACTAGGGCACTGCAACAGGTGTGATACATTTACACACACATTCATACATATGGCTAATTTAGTTCATCCAGTTCTTTTATAGCACATGTTTTCTGACTGTGGGAAAAATTGGAGCACCTGGAGAAAACCTTCACCAACACAGGAAGAACATGCAAACTACAGAAATTCCAACTGACTGGCACTCAACCTAGCGACCTTCTTGCTGTGAGATGACAGTGCTAACCACAAAGCCACCGTGCCACCCTGGCCTAATTCAGTGCATTAAATGAAACTTGCAAAAAAGAAAGTAAAATGTATGAGAGTTTTATAAAGTAAACCTAAAATAAAAATGACTCAACAATCGATTGTACTTTTACATAACTTAGTTAAAAAAATGACTCTGCTACATACTTGATATGTACTGTAAATAATTCCTGTGTGCAAAAACTCACGAAAGAAATATGAAATATGTTTATCTTATTGGTTCAGTATGTGTGTGAATAAGTGTTGAGTTTAAAACTGGAGAGATTGATCATGCTGTGGACACTGGACTCTGGAGACTGAAGGGCATGAAGAAAAGCCACAGGAGACTAATAGAGCTACAGTTTCATAAACACTGCTGTCTGACAAGACTTTTAGTAATTCTGTTGATTTATTTTGACAATATAGCTAGGTTTCAAAATCCTGGTTTCAGAATTCCTGTCAATGTAGTCAAGCTAGGCTTAATGATGCAAAATTTTAATCCACAGTATGCTCTTAAAATATATTTTGATACATTGATACATCTCAACACATTTAGGAGTGTGTGTAAAAAATTCTGTTTTTACCATACACCCACACAACACACACACACACACACACACACACACACACACACACACACACACACACACACACACACACACACACACACACACACACACACACACACACACACACACACTTTTGACTGAAATTTTCACCAGATGTTGGTAACAACCAAAGAAATCCATATTTGCAAAGAAAACCAAACTAATTAGTTTACAAATTTAGTTGTGTGTAATAAAATTAAATTAACAAAGCTTTGAACACAAGAAGAAATGGAGGTGTTGAAAGGCAGAGAAAGCCCAGGCAGTTAGAAAGCAACACTCTGCCCTTCATCAGTGTAAATTAATATGAGCTCATAATATTAGCCAAATGAGAATCGTCTTTACGCTGCCATCATCAAAAATGCCTTTTATATAAAGTATTAAATACATTTGAGAAAATGTATGAAAAATGTACATTTTAGAAATATTATTCCCAGGAAAAAAAAAAAACATGTTCAATACTTATTTCCCCCAACAGTGTTGCCAGACACAGCTGAATTTTCCCAAATGCTGTCCAAATCCCGCCAAAATGTACATAAAAACTCCCAAAATATTAGATTAATATTTTATTTAATTTTAATTTATACAAATGGAAATTAACCTAGTTACTTTAACTGTCAAAATTTCTAACCATACAGCAACCAACACTAGCAGTCACAGAACCACAACATAACCAGGTCTCATAGAAACACTGCCCTCTTACCCACACACTGCACTTATGTTGGAGTATTGTTTACTTTCGTAAATTCATCCTATCTGGCGTTTTAAATTCTTTTGAACATGATCAGGTGCTGCTTGTCAACCAAACAATGCTTCTATGTTTGTTCTTGCTGTCAATTGTGAAACAAAAGTGATCGATAAAAGTGTCATGATAAAGCGCTGTGAGTATACTGTAACTCTTTAACAGCAGCACTGCATGATGTGCGTGCATGAGAGGGGGAGTCAGATTTTGATTAACTTGCCTTCATCTCTTGGGGGTGGGCCCACACAGTTTGCACTATGCACTGGTCACTACTGAATGAATGGAGTAGGAGCACACAGTTTTGTTTTGTTAAAAAGTTTTATTTTACTTATTATAAGTTTTTTATTTTAAGCATAAAAAAAGTTTTTTAAACCACCCAAACTGTGTCAACCTGCCTATGCCATTTTTTACTGGCACAATCAAATTCAAAACCGCCCAATCTGGCAACACTGCCTGCCAAAAAGTCAAAATTATAAGCTCTTCTATGAAATGTTTATTATTTTTTTAAATATTAATTGTAGCAGCAAGAACAGTTTTATAGTATTTCCCAATTTTTAAAACAATTTTAAGCCCCCTTTTTTTAGCCCCTTAAAAAAACCTTTTGATTAGCTACAGAACAAACCACTGTTATCCAATACCTTTCCTAATTACCTTATAATTTGACTATTCAACATAATAACCTAGTTTAGTACTGCAATTGCACATTAACCCAAATACTACTTATCTTGCAAAATAGATAGAAAAAACATTATGCACTGTCATCATGGCAAAGACAAAATAAGTTATTTATTAAATCTATTATGATTCTTAAAATGTGTTGAAGAAATCTCTCTGTTAGACAACACTTGGCAAATGATATTAAAATAATTAATTCCATAGGAGGACTAATAATTTTAACTTCAACTGTACATAAAGCCAAGAGACCATGGGTTTGGTCGTCTTTTAGTAAAACTATTGTTGCTTTATTTTGTAAATACTGTTGATTTTTCTTGAATATGCAAAATAACGTTGCACTCATTAAAATTTTTGCTGTATGAAATAACATTTGCACGAGTTATCTGTTAAAAACTGAAAAATAGCAATATTGAAACGAGCTTAGCAACTCACAGCATGCTATTTCCATTACTTATGAGTCACATCTGGTGTGTATGTGTGCAAGTGAGCACAAAGTATATATGACGCATTTACTGCCTATGTAGAGCGCTCCAAATCTGTCAACTATGAGGCTTCATTTGTTAGTACTGTATACCCCTTTAGAAGAAGACAGCTAGCCAGCTCATTAGGTATTAGAACAATGTTTACATGTGCCTTATCAATTCAAAAGGAATTGAAAATCATAGTCGAGTGCGAAGCGCAAGTATTTTTCTCCAAAACACTAAATGTATTGACTGAATCTGCTGCTCTTCTAAGAGCCTGAAAGAAATGGCATCTGTACAGGTGAAGCTGGCGATGGTTGCTAGGCGGTGATGTCACCCTCTCAGCAGCACAGCCTGTGCTTCGGTGAGGTCATGCTGCTTGCTCTCAGTGTCTCTGGCTTTTGTCCTCCTGCATAATTGATATCATCTCATTGACTGCGGTCAGTCCACATCGTCCCCCCAATAAAGCAAACATGTTAAGACTTCACAATGCAATTGCAGTACATTTTGAACCAGAAAAGATATGTAAAAGATAGCACATTTTGCATTTGCATAGAAAATGCTTAACTTTTGGTAGGATAACTTAATTAATACAGAAGTTAATCAATTAAGTTTTGCATTTGGGCCATTTTGAACATGGATACATAAAAATTCACCAATTAAACTATTAAAACTATGAAAACTATTAGCCCAGCTGGGAATTTTTAATTCTCTATATACAAATATTTCCCAGGTGATGGTTTAAAATGCAATGGAAATTTCACAGTATTTCCTATGATATGTTTTTCTTCTGGTGAAAGTCTTTTTTTTTGGCTGACATAAAAGCAGTTTAAAATTGTTTAACCATTTTTAAGGTTAATATAGTTAGCCCTCTTAAGAATTTGTTCTGTTGTTTCTTCATCGAACATCGAACTTCAGAATGCACTCGATTGCCTATATACGTCTGTTTGAGCCTGTTGACCGTTGCCTGCCTGATCATCCTGTTAATAAACCTGCGTTTGGATCCACACGTACAATGGCAACGTCCCCTTCACATAACAGAAACATTTAAAAACTTGCCACTTTTTTTCAAATTCACTCATTAATAATTAGCTTATTACCCTAAATACAGTGTAAATTAATAATAATAATAATAATAGTAATAATAATAATAATAATAATAATAATAATAATAATAATGTTTTGTACAAATAAAACTTTTTTTTTTTGTATAAATGTACTTCAAAGGCAAAAACAGTATCCAGATTTGCAGTGAATTATAAGGACTAGAGAAGCTAAAGCACATGTGGTTGACCATGAGAAAACCACTGATTGACCTTCAGTGAAAATGTTTTGTTTGGTGCGGTTTGGTGGTTTGCATGTATTGTACAATGGCCTAGATGTCATTACTAATAAGTGTTGTTGAGAAAGCAGATCATTATCGAAACTGCGGCTGAGATGGAGCTCATAATGGAGAGAGCATGACACAGAAAACCACTGAAGAAGTGAAGTGAAGAATGCAAGTGAAGATGAAAGAAGTCATGTTTGAAAGATGACTGTTTCACATAAACAACTGTTGTCTTCTTTTTCTCCATCAGGTTGAGGATCAGGTGTCATGGAGTCTCTCTTCGGGGGTCAGCTGGGCTTGTTGGGGGGCAGCGAGGGTCTGAAAGAAGACGGCTGCGGGGTGGGCTGGTCCAACTCTCCCTTATCAGACGACATGTATTCGGCCTCCCAATTCGCCCTCATCAGTGCCTACCAGGACATCAAGACCCGACTGGCTGGCCTCGAGCGAGAAAACGCAGACATCAAGCGAAAACTCAAGATTTATGAGATAAAGGTAGGAAATGGCTTAAAGATGCTTTAGTTTCAGATAGGAGATATCAGTGGAGGTCACCTTAAATGGCAGTGTTCTGTAAACATTAGTTTGTGTTCATCAGATATATTCAGGTTTGTACTTCTGCTAAAATGTGGCAATTTTAGATGCCTTTTGGCTCTTGTTTAATATTAAAGATTTACTAACCAATGCAGACCCTCTTGTGCTGTTGAACTTACTAGAAAGACTGAAATTATTGACGGACATACAGTTGTGATTATTGTGGCTGACCACATTATATATTGACTATTCAACCCAGGCTCATTCTGAAAATGTACTTCTATATACATTTCTGGAGAGCGCCAAATATGTCCTAGGAGGTAAGCTTTTTTGCAGTTTTTGTTGTCGCAAATCCACCAGAGGCTGCTGTGTATGCTTTTTGAGATCTCAAATTTCTCTCGCGAGTGCCATTCATGCCTGTTTTTATCGCATAAATCCACCAGAGGCCACTGTTAACTGACTGAATGACTGACCGATCGACTGGCCCACTCTTCTCCTTCCCTGAACCCAACCAATAGTGTTTTCAAAAGCACAGATTGACCAGCACCTACCCACTTCCCACTTTTTTGGGCTTTTGTTTTTGTTTTACGCGCTTTCTGGAAACTGTTTTTCATAGTCATAGTCAACTCCTCTCTGCATCTCAAGTCCATAGACGTACACGGTGAGCTAACTGGACCAATTGGTAACAGTGGGAAAGCTATCCATACGGAGGTAAGCCGTCAGCTGGTAGCTTTTGGTGTCATACCACTCCGTAGTCTTCATTTTAAAAATAAAATGCAGACATATGTACTTCTGGCTACATATTTCACGTTCTCCAGAAATGTATATTGGGCTACATTTTTTAGAATGAGCCTATGTTGCTTATATTTGTTGGAGTTTCTGACTTTTTGCTCTAAAGAAAACATCCAAAGTAAATTGTTAATGCTATTGAATTATTATGTTGACTATTTTGTTTTTTTTTTTAATTATACCATTTTCTTTTTTAAAAAAAGCTTATTATTATCTAATTTTTTTTTCATAGCTAATGCGTTTATGGACAGGAAACAACATTGTTTACAGACTGTTTTACTGATGTTTGTGTAGTTCTGATGTTCAGTCGTGTTTATTCCATGTTATAATGGCAAAAAGCAAAAGAGGTGATTAGTTTCAGCAACCCAATAACTCCAACAGTAATCCAGTAATTCTAACAGTTTTAAAATTTAATTGAGATGATCTGAAAAAGATTTCATATTAAAAGAAGTTGTTTGCTCATTAACAAAGACCATTCATGGTCCTATTTTTGTGAAAGAAAATGTAATTTCAAAAACCTTCCTGTTAAAGTATTGGAGTTGCCCATTGTTTGCGTTTAATTTGGACGGAATCCTGAAGTTTCTATAAAACACAATGATCTTGCTTTCTAGCTTGCTTTGAAAAAAATGCACAAAGCATCTTGTGTTTCAGCAGAAGCGAGAAAAACTTGATTAGTGACCTAGAAATAGTGCAGAATCTTACATTATTATTACGTAACTTTTGTTTATAGCTGTCAGCTTATTTCCAGGATAAAATGAAAAACACCCAAGTGTGGTTTCAGACTTGTGGATCAAACTTTTGATAAAATAGTCTGCTAACCCTAGGTGCTCATTAAAATATCAAAAAAGGATTGTCATTGTCTTTCAAATTACTCCAATTTAATTTATTTCAAATTAACATTATTAATATAAGTGTAGGGATGATACGTATTTAACTTGACATAGTTATCTAGTCAAAAGTGGGGTGTAGACTTCCTCATTAGCCCCAAATCCATTTGTCCTCTACCTCACTACTCATCTCACATTAACCCAGAGACAGTGACACGGTCACAGACACAATATATAGGGCACTTCATTAGAGAGGAGCACAGTATACCCACACACTGAGTGATAATATCTGTGTGGACGCAAATGCACACACACTGAGCGATTATGTCTTTGTGGAGCACAGCACTCAGAAAGAGTGCGAAGAAATCATTAAACCTACCACTCTGTGTATCAACAAACCTTCAATAGATCAGAAGGAGCCAGGCACACTAAGTTTGTGATATGAGGTCTATTAATCTGTGCTGTGCTGCTCTTTTAATGGTCTGGAGATTTATTTTTTCTTAAAAGTTAGCAAATCTCCCTGTTTTAACAGTTAGTTGTCACCACAGTTTTGAAAAATGCAAAAGTGGGCATAAAGTGATATGAGTACTGTCAAGTATGGTTACCCAGACTTAAGTTTGGATAATGTACTGAAATCAGGGGTTGTGTGCCTTGCTCAGGGGCACTTCAGCTGGGTATTGAAGATGGAGACCGGGAGTCGAACCTGCAACCTTTTGATAACAATTCCAACTCCCTAATGATTAGTCCACAATTGCCCCTTCATAAAATAAACATTACACCAAGGGTGACCAACCCTGTTCCTGGAGATCTACCATCCTGCAGGATTCAGTTGCAACCCATATCAAACACACCTGCCTGTAATTATCAAGTGCTGTTCAGGCCCTGATTAATTGGTTCAGGTGTGTTTGATCAGGGTTGGAGCTAAACTCTCCAGGAAGGAAGATCTCCAGGAACAGGGTTGAGCACCCCTGCATTACACTATGTCCTAACAACTTGCAATAAAGCAAGATTCCAGCAACAAGCAGTTTGATGTGACATGACAGAAACATTTATATATCAGAGCCATTCAGACGTGCAGAATAATGCACTACACTCCCAATAAAATGGTATTGTTTATAGTCTAATTATTACATATTTAACATATTAAATACATGCTGAGTGACTGATATTTGTTGGTTTGCTCTGAGTCACAGTTCAATAGTCAGTCAATACAAGCAATTATCCACAACAAGCTGACTGGCTTCTCTCACAAATGTGCACAAAGACATTGAGACTGGCAGAAATGTACACAGCCACCTCTGGTGGTTTTACAAGAAATGGCACTAGCTGAAATGGCATATTTGAGATCATCTAAATTATACATAGTTGCTTGTAGTGTGTTTGAGCAAAAAAAAAAAAAATAATAATAATTTTAAAAATCTATAAAAAAAACTGCAAGCAGACATAGCCCCGGGTACATATTTCCCGGTTCACAAAAATGTAGCCCTGGGCACATATCTTCAATGAGGCTGGGTTGGAAGAAGTTTGAGGTCAGAAACATATTTTAAATGAGGGATTGTTTACACAAAAATTACAATTCTGCATCATTCAAGTTTGGGTAACTATATGTTTTATATTCAAGGTTGTGTTTCAATTTCTGTTTCTACTGTAATATAGTTTAAAATGTAATGTATTTCACAATCCTTTGGAAATCATTCTAATATGCTGACTCACCCTTAACTTGTTCAAAACATATTTGAGTTTCTTTCTTCTGTTGAACACAAAAGAAGATACTTTGAAAAGGCCCTGTGACCTCCATAATAATTGTTTTCCTAGTATGAAAATCAATGGGCACCAGCAACCATCAAGCAACCATTCTTCAAAATATCCTCTTTTTATTCAACAGAAATTAGAAACTTTAGAGCTTTAAAACCACATGAGGGGGAGTAAATGATGGAGTAATTTTCATTTTGTGTAAATTAATCCCTTTAAAGCCCTATAATACATTGTTCCAAAAATATTAATCAGCAACCTTCTTAAATATTGGTAAGAAATGTTCTTTAAACAGTGAGTCAGCATTGAATGTTTCCAAAGGAATGTGTGAAATTAAAGACTGGAGTAATGATGATAAATCATCTTTACCATCACAGAAATACATTTGAATTATATAATAGAAGAAAATAAAATTGAAAATGCAACCTTTATGAGCATAATGCACTTCTTTTAAGAACATTACAAAAAATCTTTTGAGCCATATGCACTTATTCTTGTAGCCTGAAGGAAGAAGGAGGTTAGCATTGGTTACATTAATGCTAGACATCAAACATACAGAACTGCTTTTTGGTTTTCTTTCAAAATATAGTTCATGTTCGTCAGCACTAATATATGCTGTTGTCAGAGTTTTATGTTCAGCCATGTGCCGTTCAGTTGATTAATGACAGTGGTGTTACTGAACTCATCTGGAACTGTATCTGCTTCATGTATGATGCAGCTTTATTTATAGCCCAGTCGACATGTGAGCTGAGCTCCACATAAACAAGCATGCTCACTGTAATTAGCATGTCAAACCGCACAAACACACAAAGCCGCTCCTCTCCCCGTCCGCTTCAGATCCCGATGCGCTCCATCAAAATCAAAGGTTCTGTTAATCTTTAAAGATGAATGTGAATGAAGATGAGATTTTTATTTAGGAAAAAAGGAATAGCTTGTGTTTAAAATAATCAGTATTTTTGAGTGATAGCGCTGGAAATCAGTGATAAGGATATCTGGCAATCTTCAAGATTAATATACACTGCTAAAAAAATCAAGAGAAAATGTAATAATGTGAATGTTTGTAATAATGAAATGTCTATTTGAATATTTTTAACATGTAATTAATTTCTGCTATGTTTAAGTAAAATTGTCAAATTTTGAAAATATTTTTTGGAATTCAGAATTTTTAAACATTTTGAAAGTTTAGGTCAGCGTTAGAAGTTATTTTTTGTTTAAAATAAAATAGAAAAACAATGTAAAAAAATGGTAATCTTTAAAAAATACTATGGCCACCTGTGTCCAACATGCTTTAAAATATCTTAATTTATGTTCAAAACAAGACATTTATACAGGGTTAGAACAGGTGTAATCGTATCTCACTATAGTTGTTAAACATGACATTTAATTAATCTTGTCTCTATATAACGACTCTTTAGTCTTTTATATCTATCAGGTAACGTGTCACAGCATCAGAACACTGCTTTAATCTTTTGTTTTCACGCTTGTACACGTCAGATACTGTGGGTTGGTTCCTGTTGGTTGTGCATCTTTTTTACCAACCAAGTTTCTCAATGCCATTTTAATGACACAGATCACTCTGCCAATTCATGCCTGAATAGGTCCTGCAAAAAAGTGATTGATGTGGTAATTTGTGTGTAAGTTATCTTTATTTGTTTATGATTTTGTTATGGGAAAAACAATAATTATTCATAAATAATTCACCACCGCCTACAAAGACGATGCCATCATTCATTGCGATGTTTCACATTAGACATTGTGCGATGCCAAATTGGTCGACATTGCCCAACCCTAATACACACACAGCTGTTTGACACTTTTCTCTGCACCTAAGTCAGAAAAGGACCACAGACAACAAGCACATCACAAAATGCTGAGGGTTTTTTCTCCATTCAGCGTGCGGTATTAATTAAAGCAATACTCTTCCACCAGTCTGTACTTACTCATACTCACTTCCAATACCTCAGTTTGTCACGGGGTCATGAATGAAATGTTTCTGAATATAGATGAAAAACCCAAATTAAAAATTAAACACCCGAAATGATATGAAACTCTGGAGGAAACGTGGATGGTGGTGGATGCATTGGCGATAATCCATCTATGTGCTATAACATGTAAAACAGGATCATAAAACGAACATTCAAAAAACTCATGTAAACACCTTAATCATATTATTGTCTTATTCAGATTAAGACAATTCTTTTGATAACTGATGTCCATGTAAACAGTCACTGTTTTAAATCATGCATCCTTAGAAAACAGGAAATGGTGGAGTTCCCAATTGCTGTTTGAGTAAATTTAACAGTTTGTTTGTTTTTTTTTCAATCAAAATATGTTGTGATTGGTGTCACTGGGATATTAGATAGTAGAATGGTACAGTATGAAGTCAGATAACACATCGGCAGCACAATGCTGTTGCTGTGCAGTAACCAACTCAACAAGGTGCACAGCTGGTTCGTTTGATGTGATCTCTGGGTACAACTAGGTAGTTTGGGCTGCTGCCAAGTGTCTAGTGAGCTGCAGGTAGAAGATGCTCCAGATTGGGTATGTTTAAAGCTTTTTGGTTCAGCTCTGCCCATAAAAATGCACATACACGCATCGTTGACGTCTGCTTCTGAAGAACAGCTGTTTTTGCAGAAGGAGAAAGAGAGATAGAGAGATGGAGAGAGAAAAAGAAAGAAAAAGAGATTGAGAAAGGCTCCAGGGCTCTGCGTTCAATATGGCTCACTGCCTAGTAAAGGGCTAAACGGGGGGGAACAAATGCACACAACTCTCAAAGCTCGTAGGAGTAGAAATACATGAGATCCAGCACATCAAAGCACAGAGCATCTAGTGATGCCAGCAGTGAGGTAGATGATGATGCAGGAGATGAACTTGTAGCCTATAAGTGCAGAGACTAAATGGAAAGATACATGGAGAGTTGAAATGGAAAGTGACTAATGTGTGTGTGTTTTATATATATGTAGGGTATAATCATCGGATTGCTGGTCACAAAAGGATTTTACATGCATGTTGTGGAGCGTGATTGCCTCTACGTAGTGCATTTAAAAACTTTTAATGCACAACAAACCATTGATTATCCTGATTATTACTTAGTAGTTTGCTAAGTTATTGACAAGTTAAACTAGTTTATGAAAATTGTCAGTTATGACATTTTTAATCTCCTAGTCCCCACATTGAATTAGCAGTCAGAGTGAAGGTTTGTGCGAGAGAGATCATAGGCTCTATTTTTGTGATCTAGGCACAAAGTCTAAAGCACATGGTGTAAAAGCATTAAGGGAGTGTCTGAATCCTTTTGCTCATTTAAGGACAGAAATATACAGTTTGCGCCCTGGTGCATGGTCTAACAGGGTTGTGCTTATTCTCTTAATGTGGGTGTGTTTTGAGCATAACGTGTATTAAACCAATCACAGTCTCATCTCCCATTCCCTTTAAGAGTCAGTTGTGTCGTACTATGGCACATTTGCTATTTCCATGGTGAGCGTTGTAAGTGGAAAATCTGAACACTTCACTAGAGAGAAAACATGTTAAACAGACCATCTGCAGCATGAGGATAAAGAATGAGCCTCCATTCGGCCTCTTTACCTTCTCTTTACTTTACTTTTACTCCTTTACTTTTGTGGATGAGATAAGAGTGGAAACTAGAGACATCCATTAGCCTACATATTTATTTTGGTTAAATTCAAGGATTTGTTTCAAAACTATTTCTAAATTCAGTTCTAATTTCCAGAAAACAAATAAATGAACAATATTAACGAAGTGTGGTCAAAAATGTATATCCAAACACACATCATATTCTTATATTCTTTAATACTACTACTAATAATATTATACTAATGCAAATTGTTATGAATAAGCAAACGTGCAAATGACAATGGGCATATCTAATAGCTGCACAAATGTTTAGCTGCTCTCTTTGCAAAATTTAAGCATATTTACTAGTTGGTTAATCTCCATCGACTCCCTGGTAAAGCAAGTCTGTGTCCTCAAGATTACACAGAGGAATAAAGGGCTCTGCCAGCAACTGTCACCGATTTGCTATAGTAAACTGAGGTTACTACATTGTAAAAAGTTATTAGTTTACTTAAAGCAGTGAGTAAATGCATTCCTTTAAGTAAATGAATTTTGCTTAAATAAAAAAAAACATGTAATTTTTTGCTCAAATTTAAAATGTTAAAAGTTAAGTCAACTTTACCGTTCCGCTCTGTTGCAACAGATTTACTCACTTCTTAAAAAGTTTACTTGTTGCTGTTAAGGAACAAGTAAATGAACTAATTGCTTTTTACTGTGTAGCTATGTTTTTGGGGAAGAACATTTATTTTGAACTTTGAACAAAACTGACCGGAACTATTTATGTTTTAAACAATTTTATTACACACAGTCGAGTCAATCAAAACCAGGAATTTCAACAGACCAAATAAATGTATATAAATATGCATATGCTATGCATGTCTTTGAACTTTTATAAGCTGTTTATACATATAGAAAATTTTTAGTCTCAAAAACCAACACAATCTCATGGCAATTCATAACTTTTTGATTTGGTGGCTAATTCATATGAATTGGTACAATCTCATTACAATTTAGTACAATTTGCTTATCCCCCTATGATGGTTGGGTTTAGGGGCAGAGTTTGGTGTCACGCCTCCTTTTTAAAATCATACATTTTCATACAACTGAACTCGTATGAAATAGCCACTAAACTGACAAAACGTAAAATAGTTACATTTTTGTTTGTGAAATCAGGCTGCAAAAACTACAGAGAAAAAACCCCAAGAGATATTCTTTATAAAAGTCAATTGACTAAATCGTACCTTCCCTAAATGCCTCATTTAAAAATGCCTAATCTACCTCAAATCTACACTAGTGTGTGGAAAGATTGTCAACACACAGCCCAAATGTATATCCAAAGAAATCTGGTGTAACTTTTGTATTGTTGCTGACTGAGCCATGGCATTGTTTCACAAAACCTTACCAATCAGTTATGTTCTACTCAAGTTGCGCTAATGAAGCTGATTAATCAACTTGATCATCTGCATATTTTGAATCAAATTCATCAAATTGATAAGGTAGTAAAGGCATAACATTTCTGTCACACACTGAAGGCATTCAGCAAATCACAACTAAATGAATAAATGGCCAATCAGAGCACAAAACTCAGAATGATGAGGTTTTGTAAAAATCAATGCTTTTTAGAAAGGAGGGGCATCAATAAATAGTAACAGTAAATATGTATTACACCAAATTACACCAAAAACCATTATTATTTTCAGCATGACTTTAAAGTCCTCATACAATAAAAATGTACACTGTTTGCTTTGTAAGGTCACAAGCTGTTCTTGAGGTGAATAGAAAACCATCTGGAGATTTCTGACATACTGTTTTCAACACACTTTGCTACACAATTCTGATTTCTCATCCTATTTATGATGGATTGTGATACAAGGACAGCCTTGTGTATCCAGGGCTCTGTTCAGCCCAGACAAAACACTGCAAAACATTTTTAAATGGAAACAGTTATGCGTTGAACACCCTGTACTGGTGATGCAAGAGTTGCAACTTTGGCAGCAGAAAAGGCCATTCTTGGTGCTCTTTTCGAAGAAACCCAATTAATTATCTTTTAGGAATCAATACTACTTTTTAATACCTTGTAATTTCTTACTCATTTCTATGTAAAGTATTTAAACATTATCATGGTTAAAATTGGTAGACATATTTAACACACTCTCCAAAAAAAAAAAAAAAAAGACAAAAACATAGCTCAAACCCCAGGAAACAGTATAGTTCAACACTGGTTTGAGCTTGAATTTGCCTCAGACTTTTACACTTGCAGCAACTCTTTGCATCTTTCATTAATAAAGCACACTTGACTGAAATGTTAAGCAACCAATCACAGTTCATTTTGCTCAGTGTCATGTGTAAGGAAATACAAATATAATATTGATGTCCTATGAATAAAATTGTTATTTAAAGTCTACTATAACTGCCTTTTCTTCCATAGTTTTTAGTCATTACAGGTTTATTTCCTATTGGACTATTAAAGAATGTGACCCACGTGTCTCATGGAAATACTGTAGAAATCAGTCAATCAGATTCTAAATTCAGGTGTTCACCCATCATTCCACTGGAAGACTGAGACTAATGCATATAATGCCCTATTAAACCAGATTGCTAGTGGTTAGTGAATGTCACACTGTTTTTAGCACCACAATTGGCACAACTATCTACTGAACCCTAAATAATTGAGTTTAATGGTTTGGTTTAATGTTTTCTGCCTGTGATGACCCATATGTTCTTTTTTGTGTGTGTGTGTGTGTGTGTGTGTGTGTGTGTGTGTGTGTGTAGTTCCCCATGATAAGCGAGTTTGGAGAGGACAGAAACTCCTACTGCTCCTTCGAGCCCAAAGACACAGCACTACTTCAGTCAGAGAATGGCAGTCTGCAACAGAGAGTCAACATGCTGACCCTCGAGGTGAGACTACAAACACAAATATGTACAAATAAACAATTCAGAGAACAAGACAGTTCATCCAAAAAAGGACAATGGAAGTCAATAGCTTGGTTTCTGTTCTAACATGAAGCAAATCATTTCAAAGTAAAAGTCCCAAATGCAAATTAGGTGCATTTCTATCAAGCTGTTAGAGTGGCTGTCTGTAGTATTGGTAACCTAGTAACCAACAGTAATCAAGGCAAGCCCAATGAAGTCACCTGGGTGTAATGTTTACCATGTCAGTCTTTTAAGCAAATGTGTTTTCATCCGCCATTTAGGCTGCATTTACACTGCATGGTTCAAGTGACCCAATTCCACTTTTTTTTTTCTCCCATGTGGCACAGATCGGATATAGCCCTCGTACATGTAAGCACGGGAAAAAAATCACATAGATTCCAATTTACTCAAATCAGATTCAGGCCGTGTTCATATGTGGAAAATTATCTGATATGAATTGGATCTGTGTCCTCGTGTTTGAAGTGTAAGCAGGTAGATCAGATTTTTACCTGTCAATGCGAGCTGCATGTCATAAGTGCAGTTTATTTATGAACTAACTTTGAAAGGATCACGTGCTTATGATCAACACGGCTGGCACCACATTAGCTTCGTAATCTACCCTAATAAATAGATGATTACGTACGCATTATAAATAACCAGAGCTTTTCACTCCAGTTATCTTCGTCTTGAAGTTTCCACCTTTCCTTCGCACCCTTTTTTCCGATAGGGCGACACGGCGGTCTAGTGGGTAGCACTGTTGCCTCACAGCAAGAACAGCGCTGGTCCAACCTCCTATCAGAGGCCGGTTGGCGTTTCTGTGTTGAGTTTACATGTTCTCCCCTTGTTCGCGTGGGTTTCCCCCTGGTTCCTTTATTTTCCTTCCACCGTCCAAAAACATACACTATAGCCAATCGACTAATCCAAATTATTACCTAAGAAAACCTTAATTTACACTTCTCACACGATGACAAGCAGCGGAGTTTGAGACCTACCTGAGATCCCCCTTCTAACGGGAGGGAGCCCTGGGCTCGAGGATATTACAAGCTCAGGGCTCTCTCCCGGAACAGCATGCCAATTACACTTTGATCATCAGCTAAGAGTGAACTCTTGAAAAACCCATAGCGAATGACGTCAACTCTGACGCTTTCATTTTGGAACATACTTCAGCAGATTCCCAAACCTTAAAGGGTCACGAAACACCAAAACACATTTTTTGAGCTGTTGACAGTCGTATATGTGTCCCACACTGCTAAACACTATTAGGACACCTATATTTCACTGAAAAGTGTAAATTGGTTGTTTTTGCGTTATTTCAAGCAAATTCGTACTTCCGGTTTAAAACTAATTTTTGAAGCTGCGTCACGGTCATGACATAATAGCGTTGTATTCCAGCGTGCAGACTGGGCGTCTGTGCCAGAGTGAGTCTTATTACGTCTTACAGTGAGATGCATTAATGCATGAGTAAGGCTTGGTTCAAACCAATCAGCACGCTCTATTGTGCAACTTCATTAATATTCATTAGTGTCACCGTATTTACACGACAGAGACGCCACGTTGTGTTGGCAAAACAAGCGTGAAGTGTTGCTTTTATAGTTTGCTGCCGTTAAGTTTCGTTTTCATTTTCTCTCTGTGAAAGCTCATCTGGAGTCATGTGTGGATTAACAGTGTACGCGACGCTCGACAACAATAACTTATGTGTCTAAGGAGGATTATTGTTTTACCTGAGATCTATAAACTTGTTAGCACCACAACCAAACTTTAACCTCGTGTAGGGTTTTTTACATTATTTAGTGACCGGAATAACACACGTGGCTTTCTGACGCTACCTGTCGTGTGCATCTAAGTTTCCGGGAAATGCGGAGGGTTTTTTTCTCTCATTCGCCGTGGGGTATCAAACATTGCATGAAAAATACACGCTTAGAGCAGTTCCTCGAATCAAATATGAATCAAAGAGCCAAACTGCAGTTAAAGTCCAACATTTAATAATTTGGCAAATAATTCGACTACAGATGTCCATGTAGGTTAAACACCATCACTTTCTCCTGTGTGTTTATTTTGACTCTGAAACTCGCGCGTGCCCAAATAGACACTCCCACACCCTCCCACTTAAGTTCCTCCGACACCCCTAAACAGAGCTGGACACGCCCACTTTTCTGACTTTTTCCAAAGTAGAGGTGTGAAAACACCCTGCTGAAACGAGAGGGTTTCATGGCCCTTTAAATCTCCTACATGTCGACTAAATGTTTTTATTTGTCATTATATATGAAATATAAATGAGAGCGCAACGTCTGCCACCTAAACAATATAGGCTAGACTAAAACTGTTGAATACATCACATGCATAAATCATGCCATGAACATTACATTAAGATGCCTACTGGTTTAAAAAGGCCTAGATTAAAAGATGGCCAAATGAAAACTTTTCTGTCATAAACTGTTGTAAAACAACTTTATCAAAAAGAATAAAAAAATAAATAAAAATTAAATAAATAAAATCAACACTGCGAACAGATTAAATACAGTAATGAAAAAAAGGGCACTCTTTAATTATCAGCTGTCAGTCAGCACCCACTCTTCTTTTCTTGCTCAATGCGCCTTTTGCCTTGTGCCATGTAAATGCAGACAATCGGATAAGAGTCACAAAATGGGAATTGACCATCGGGATCTACAGTGTAAATGCAGCCTTAGTGTATTAACTTTATTTGCTCAAGTGCAAATTAAGCCACCTCAAGTTAGCATAAAATAAGGGATTTTTATTTGAAAGTAGACACTTCCATCACTCATTTCTCATGCAATACTTCAATATGTGCATTAACACTGATGTAAACCCAATCTGCTTGTCAAGTTGTGACATATTGGTGACATACTGCATGGAATACTTTTCCGAGTCCAAGCCACTACTTATTTGAATTGAGAAAATACTAATTTATGACAACTTCTTAGTCAAACATTAAAGTGAATTTTAAATAAAACCACGGTGTACACATCAGTTTCTAGGATTGCTGCATCACAAATACCAACATTTTAACAATTTATAAAAAATCAATCACTTTCTGGCCATCAGATATTAGGCATGGATATACCTGTATATATATATATATATTGCGATCATGATTTTCTAAGGTATTACATTGCTTTGTAAACGTTTATTATTACCATTTGTTGAGTCACCCCATAGTTTGGTAGAGCGCTCAAAACGGCTTCACATGACGTCACACTTAACAAGTGGATGGCTAACAATACTCAATGTATTGTCAGGAGCCATGGGTATTCATTTTGTTTTGCCTGTGTGTATATTTTTGACTCTCAAAGTACTGATAGCTATTAGCTTTTATTTTATAAATCACAATTATGATTGATTTAATAAATCACCATGTTTTCATTTATAAATCTTATTGTTATTTTGAAAGAGAAAAAAAAATCACCAACATTTGGGATGACCTTATGGTAAAAAACAGCCAATTTTAGTTTTTGTTTGAACTATCCATGTTATGGATAACATTTCATCTGCAAATTTCCAATAATATCGTCTTATATTGTGATTTGCCTTTATTGGGTTGTAATTTTGGATTACACATCACAAAGCAGAAAGATTAGAGAGGAAATACGATTACTAATGTAATAAAGGACAACTTTAAAAGCCCAGTCATTCCTGATAAAGGCCTTACGTAATCTAGAGCACAAAGTGTTTATTATTTTTTTTTGCGTGCCTAAAGCCTGCTTTCAATCGTCTCTCCCGGCTGGCTGTGATGTGGAGTGTAAATGGGAAGATCATACTCTCTCTCTGCATCTCTCGGCTCATTGCCTGGTGAAGCGTCTCATTAATTAATGATGCTTGCTATGTGTTTCCATAGTCACCCAGCAGCCTTCCCTCCGTCGAAGAGACAGATTTCTCTTTGTCATCTGTTCTTCTCTCTCCCACACCTCCCTCGCTTTTGCTGACGTTTGGTACTTTGTGTATTTGTACGCTGCTTATTCTTCCCCACCCTCCTAGCTTGACTGTGGCCTTCCTCCTCGATTCGTGTCTTATTGCATTTCGTTCTTCACTTTTTTTCCCCCCAACACCCAGAGCTTAGCAGTCATGAGCTGTCGCTGAGATCTAATGCAGCGCAATTGGAAGTAAATACCCTGTTCTGCTATTTTTCTGAAAATAAGCTACAATTATCTGTGAAGGCAAAGGATCACCGCAGAGAGGTGCAGTATAATTGAAGTACATGCTTATGTGTCTGTATTAAAATGAAAGTGCTGGCAACAACATGAGTGCATTTGTTTCTTTTTTTATATCAGGCAGAACACCCTCTGTCTGTAATGTTTTTATTTTACGTACATTTTCTTAAGTGCTTTTAGCGACAGGCAGTTTGTCCGAACATGAAACCTGAACAAGTAGCATGACAAGTTGACAGACCAGCCATTCAATGTCGAACAATTTGTTGATCTGCTACAACCTTTTTTTTTCCTTTCTTGTAAACATAAACATGTTTTTCTGTTGCGGATTTGTCACCAGGATGATAAACTGACAGGTTGTCAGAATTTGACAAAACATAGCTGTGGGTCTGCATGTAGCCTATACAGGACTGTATGCCCCTAATAATCAAGATATGCCCCTGTATGTAGAAGATTACTTCATTGAAGGGCACCTACGATAAAAACAATCTTTTGTAAGCTATTTGGACAGAACTGTGTGTAGGTATAGTGTGTACACAGTCATATTGGGGTGATATCAAGACACTAAGTCTCTTTTTTAAAATTTTCCTGACATTAAAATAGGATCTAAATCCCTCCCATTTTGAGGCCCACTGCAATGTGACATAACAGTGCAGTTTCCATGCCCACTGAATTGATTGACAGCCACAAAACATTGTAACAACATTGTGTGTCTCATTGTTGCAGAAAGGCTTGAATTAGCTCCACCACAAATACATCAAATAATGATTAGAAAAGTTCTTACTGTAGTATTTCTCACAAACATTACGAGAGATCTGCTTCCTTCATGTCTGTCACTGTGCTGTTTATCTGACGCAGACATTGAGGCACACCCTGACAGGCACGTGGAAACCAGCATTAAAGGCACAGGCAACAAAAACAGCTACATAGTTGTTTAGAGCAGAAAATCCAACATTCTGAAAGGTATAATAAATAATCTGATAGGTGTTTTGTGCAAAAAATTTACAGACACATTCTGGAGACACAAAAGGCTTATCTTACATCTTGAAAAGGGGTAAAATAGGTGCCCTTTAAAATAAGAACTGGTAACAATTTACTTGAAGGTGGTGTTCATAAAATTATCATGAAACTTTTATGATCATAACATGTCACATCATGATTACGAAGAAGATTTTATGCGTCTTGAGGCCATTGTAATTGTGTCATGAATGTTATAACATTTCATATTTTTCATGATCTTAACTACAGTGGTAAATATTGAATTGTCATTAAATGTCATTAAAAATCTTGAAGTATTAAAGAAGCTGTTATACAATTATTTGACAGAGTATTGACACAAAAACCTAATGACAAATTCAGTTTGTTTCACTGAAACATCAGAAAAATATTCATAGGTTTATGACAACATAGGCTCATTCTGAAAAAGTAGCCCTATATATATTTCTGGAGATCGCAAATTATGTAGCCAGAGCTACGTATGGCTGCATTTTGTCTTTAGAATCAACGATACGAGGCAATATGACTCCATTCCTTTTCGTGCTAACTAGCTGACCGCTTACCTCCATGTGGACTCCTTTCCACTGTCACTAGTTTGTGCAGTGGCTCGCCACATACGTCTGTGGACTTGAGTCGCAGAGAAGAGCTGACCGTGACGATGGGGTTCGAGTCTGGTGAAGAATGATTCCAGAAAGCAGGTAAGACAAAAACAAAAGCCAAAAAATAAAACAAACAAATAACAGGGTGAGAATGTGGTAAAAACAGAAAATGTGGTTAAAATCAGCGGGCTTTTTTTTCTGGAATTCTTTTGAAAACAATGTCGGTTGGGTTTAGGGAAGTGGGTGAGCCAGTGAGTCTGTGCTTTTAAAGACACTATTGGTTGCATTTAGGGAAGGAGGAGGGTGGGTCAGTTGATCGGTCAGTCATTTAGTTAGTTGACAGCAGTGTCTAGTGGATTTGAGCGAAATGGGCAGGCACGAATACCACTCATGAGAGAAATTTGAGATCTGAAAAAGCATACACAGCGGCCTCTGGTTGATTTATGAAAACAAAAACTGAAAAAAGTAGCTCCTTGTATGTATTTGGTTCTCTCCAGAAATGAATATAGGGTTACGTTTTCAGAATGAGCCTGGGTTGGTCAATAATATTGACCTCATGACAATCATGTTTATGACAGATTTCTGACAATGTTATGCTGTGTTGGTAATGTCAAATTGTAATGACAAAATAGATTGTGATGTATCTGGTTGTGTCCAGTCTTCATAAAGACATCTTCAACCATGTAATCTTTGCATTAAAAAATGACTCAACAGAGCGAATGACACTTAATGAAAGTTGTCATAATGATTATGCAGGTATCATGACAGTCTTATGAACAACCTTCAAAAGGAAAGTGTCAACTGCTTGGGTGATGAAACTTGTAGTGAAGCTAACACTATGAGACTCCTAAGAACATATACAGTCTATAATGCTGACAAAAAAATAATAATAATTGAGAAAATGAGAATGTTACTACACCTGCGTTTGCCAAATGTTACAACAGCTTGTCATTATACAGCCAGAAGACATCCCAACTGTCCTTGTAATTCAAAGTGCTTATTAAACATGCCATTATGCTTTGATAAGAATCTAAAATGCAAAAAGATTTATGTGAGGATAATACATTTGAAAACATCATAAGATCTGTGAGGTCCCCCAAAACTGAAAAGTCTGTCATCTTTCACTCAAACTCATGTTGTTACAAACTCATAAGACACATAAAATATTTAATAACTTTGAGAGATGTTTGTCCCTCCAGGGAAATTACATTCAACCCAATCTCTGATGCTTCAAAACAATTATAAAGAGGTCATAAAATAAGTTGTTTACTTCATGATCATGAGGAAAAGATTAAGGTATTTATTCACAGTAAAACACTTGAGCAAATTTTAGTATCAGCAAGAACTAATTAGTTTCTCATGTGTCAAACAGATTTGGTTCTACAATTCTTAATCTTATAGCATCACTTAAGGTTTTTAAAAGACCAATGACGTTTATCCCTTCATGTCAAGTTCTGACCACTTTAATTTACACAAATTTACTTTTTAATTCCTTTATTAAAGTTTTGGGTAAAGATTGTTTCAGTAAGGAGATACAAACGTCTCAGATTTGTAATGATGCATGTCTGTTTTCCAGCTCCAAAAGAGCAAAGAGCGTGAGGAGCAGCTTGAAGATGTCATTCAGGCTTATGAGAAGATCCACATGGAGAAGTCCAGCCTTCAGCGAGACCTGGACAAGATGGTAAGAGCTCTTGTAACACATCCGTGCTAAGTTTGGCTGCCGAGCGGATGGGCAGTTGCGATAATTAGCCTCTCCATGTGCTTCAGGCTTTAATCCAACCAGGTGTCCACTTGATTAATCTTGTACCGAGCATACGTCCTATAACTGGGCTCCATGAATGTAATTGGCCTCTCATATTACCCAGCCCAGGCTTAGCGTACGTGGATGATGCTGATATCTATAATTACATATGCACATTTGCATCCTCGGTTTTAAACACGGGTCTCAAATGGCTTCGAATGGATTTGGCCCGGACCAAAAGATTGAAGTTTTGAAAAATTCATGATGCAAACGTTTGAGCATCTGTGCCGTTCGCCTCTCTGAAACACTCAGCCAACTATCAGCTGTTACATCTACGTGCTCTCATCTTTTATTGCTGACAAAAACTCCTCATGGACGCAAAGTTTGGATGAATCTGCATGGTTAAAGTAATGGCCTCCCTGCCCTTGTCTATCTTTTGATCAGTCCCTCATTGCTCTCTGTACTTTCTCTTTTGGCGTTTCACTTTGAATCTTTTATAATCTTGTGCTTTTTCTTTCCCTCCTCAGACGTCTCTAGTGGAGAAACACGTCGAGCGGATCCACGGTTTAGAGGCGGCTTTGAGGCAGAGGGAAAGCTCTCTACACAAACTCAACACACAGCTACACAACAAAGACATGCAGTATCTGCAACTGCACAGCCCTGACTCGCATAGTAAGTTTTGTTTTTATGTGCGCTATGCGTGCAGGTGTTCATTTAGAAATCACACTGTGCCTAAAACCACTACCACTGACTCATTCACTCATTCATTATTGAGTGTCATAAAGATCCCTGTACAAGAAAAGAGTAAACAAATGTGTATTCAGATGCTTCTGTTGTCACGGATGCTGTGCTGCTGTGGTAAAATACAAAGAGCAAATTCAAACAGGCGCTTTAAACCACAAGTGTAACAAACTATACACAACCATTATTGCGTCTATGAGACCAAACAATGGACTGACAAAATGGGCTTTAAATAGGATAATTAACAACTATGGACAGGTGATGTAACTAAGGAGTAACAATGGAGGCAATATATCCACAGCAAAATGGGGACAAAGGTAGAATCAAATGTAGGAGAAGGGAACTGAAAAAGAAAAGAACTGAACAGAAACAAACATAGATGTGGCATCTACACTGTGTTTGATTTTATTTAAATGTTGAGTTATTTGTTATTCAACATCTTTTAATTCTAAAAGTTTAAATCTCATATGTAATAGATTAGACTAGATTTAACTTTATTTCCATTACACATGTACAAGTATAAGGCAACAAAGTGCGGTTTAGGTAACCAGTAGTGCAATAGCAGTGCAATTGCAGGATATAGGTATAACTTATAAAGTGCAGTTCTAGAAAAATTATGGGTAATATTTACAGATGGATGTACTATGAACATTATATACATATTGTATTAACTATGAACAGAGATTTACTATAAATGAATATATGTATAGGTTACTATTTTAAATCAGGGTATGCAGATAGATATGAAAAGAATTACAAATGTATATATGCAGTGGACATGTTCTATTCTAGATGCAAATATTAATTCAAGAGTTCCCACTTAGATATGCTTAGCGTTAATAGCAGATTTGACATGCTGTCCCAGGAGAGAACACTGAGCTCGGAGATACTTGAGCCCAAGGCTCCCACCCGGGAGGGAAAAAAAGATCCATTTATTGTAAGCTAGAATCATTCTGATTGATTACTGATTACAGATGAGCAGCCAGTTGTGCTCAATCATATCACGTGCTCATCTCGAAATTAGTTCTTGAAACTTCACATAGTCCAGTGACTATGGGGAGTATAGGTTATGAGGAGAGTGTGGAGGTGCGTGAGGGTCTATGGGGTACAAAACATTTTAACTTTCTGTAAACTCTGCGTACCCGGTACTGGGTCTGTGACATCATTTATTTCCACATTCTTTCAATTTTAAAGGTGCGTACTGGCCCAATACCCTCATAAATGGTTACATTCTCTCATCAGTTGGAATAGAATAACTTTTGCAAAGATTATGAAAGAGACACTTTCCTTTGGCATGTGCAGGAAATACTAAAATTAAATTACAGCAACCTAGACCACACAGAACCTAAAAAGGTACACTTTTAAATTCATTCAGTCATTTTCTTGTTGGCTTAGTCCCTTTATTTATCTGGGGTTGCCACAAAAGAATTTGCCACCAACTTATCCAGCACGTTTTTACGCAGCGGATGCTCTTCCAGCCGCAACCCATCTTTAGGAAACATACACACACACACACACACACTCATTCACTACGGACAATTTAGCCTACCCAATTCACCTGTACCGCATGTCTTTGGACTGTGGGGGAAACCAGAGCACCTGGAGAAAACCCACGCGAACACAGGGAGAACATGCCAACTCCACAAAGAAACGCCAACTGAGCCGAGGTTCGAACCAGTGACCCAGCAACCTTTTTGCTGTGAGGCGACAGGACTACCTACTGTGCCACTGCATCGCCCACTTTTGCATTTGAGTTTACAAACAAAAAAGTGTCTTTTTTGGAGGGGTTAAGTATAACACATACAACATATACAATTATTTTAATCACCTTTAACAGTGTTTTATGAAAATTCAAATGGTTTTCTTTAAAATGATACCAAGCTTTTGCATTTACATCTTGGCATGTGGAAATCCAGGCAAAATCCCCAAAATAGCACTTGATTAACTGGTTTTGTTAGCATACTGTTAGGTTCTCTTTTTTTCTCTTTTCTCTTTTTTTCACATTCAAGTCTGATAAGGATAAAATTTAAAGGACAGTTCACTCAAAAATGAAAATAAACTCATTTGTTTTGTCTTTTAAACCTTTATGAGTTTCTTTCTTCCTTTGAACACAAAAATAATATATTATTTTCAATCTTTTATTGGTCTTTTGTATGACAATACAAACGACATATTGAGAAGCAAGCAGTAATATGTTGTCCATTGTTAATCTCATCCCCTAACCTCTCATTCACTAACTCAATTAACAAAGACAAATGGTCACACTTTTTGATGGTTCGTTTTTTTATATTTTTTATTTAAGTTACATTGCATCTGCATGCCAACTAATTCTCAATAGATTATAAGTGGATATTTAGGTTGGGGTTAGGGTTAGTTTAAGGGTTAGTGTGTTGACGTACTTGCAAAGTTTCTTATAGTCAGTTAAATGTCTACTGAAGGAGCAGTATCAACAGATATTAGGCAGACAGTCTACTAATACTCAAATGGACCATCAAAATAAAGTGTTACCAGAAAAATAAAACACATAAATATCAAATTAAGTACATTAGATACATAAGTACATAACATCAGAGAATAACTGGATACAGATGGGGGAAATAATCATAATTAAAAATATAGAATAATAAACCTTCTAATAAAACCACAAATGTTACAGGTTGCCAGCACCAGGTGTAATAGGCAGGCCTTTGATATAATCAGGAAATGGATTCCAAATTTTAGAAAAGGATTCTTGTGAGCCGAGGAGTAAGCATCTTATAGCTTTTCAAGTATAACACAGTAAAAAATGTCCTGTATCCACTTGTAATGTGTAGGGGGGAACTGTGTTTCCACTTTAGAAGTATGGCACATCTGGCTAAAATATTGGTAAAACCAACAGCCCTGCTGTCACATACTGTCAAATCAGGTCCAAGAGATACTCCAAAGAGGGCTAGCAAAGTATCAAGGTCTTTATTGATTCGGAGGGCTTTAATTAATGTATTAAAAACCAACACAAAAAATTATATTTGAAAGAACGCTGATAATACTATAAAAGTCAATTGGTCACAGCACCAAACATTTTTTTAAATATGTTCTTTTTTGTTTATCAGAAGAAAGAAACCCAAACAGTTTTAAAACAAGGGCAAGTAAATGATAACAGGATTTTCATTTTTGGGAGAACTTTTTATTTACATGAATGACATCATTCAAACAACAAATCAAACATCAATATTACAGTGCATAATATTATAGCACATACACACATATAAAAGCTATTCATAAGCATGTTATATTTTTAAGATCGTTCATTATTTGTCATTTGATTTGCCTGCTTCCTTTGTGTTCCAATCCCAACATCATGGGGTCTTTGAAGTGTCCTTTTTCATTATATATGCTCTGCATTTTCTATCCAGTTTCCAATCTTGCCTAATTTTGTTTTTTTCAAAGAGCACCTCTCCTGTGAAGCACTTCAAACAGGCCGAGCATCGCTCCTCTTGTCCTTTTGTTCCTCTTTGTTTCCCCCCAATGGTAGTGTTGTTCTGTATCTCTCTCATTTTTATCTCATTTGTTTTTTCTTTCCTTCTTTTTCTTCTTCTCTTTCCTTTCACTGTCTCTTTTTATTCACCACAAACAGACTTTGTAACCAGGTGAAACATATTTTGCGACAAAAAAGGTCAATCCTTTCCCCTGTGACCCCAATCCAAGATCTAAAAGGATTCAGTCAAACTTAGAGCTCAACGGGAGTCAAAAAATCCCAGAGAACTCAAGCAAATTATGTATTTATGTAAATTAGGCAACAGAGATGTTCTGTAACCCCGTCAGAAGGTAGTACAAGAATTATGTCAATTTAGTTTGCACTCATGAATACAAATATTCCATGCAAATTTGAAGAAAAAGAGTATAAAAATCCATTTGGCTGTGGTTTTGGTGTGAGGTGTAGGCGTGCAGCAGGGGTGTGTGTTTTCTGGCTTATTGCTGAACTGTCACAATAGCTGCTGGCTCAAGGACGGCTGTTCAGTGAGCTGCTGAATCACAGTGCCCACGCCGGGGGTGAGGAGCAGGAAACACTTCAGTCTCCATTTGCCATCTTCAGTGCTCCACAGCCACATACTGTAGTAAGGGACATGCGTGGACTGACTTTAGGCTTCTAACTGTGCTGGTCCTGGGGCAGCAACATTAACACTCCTGCCCAGACAGTAAGCTGATCCTTGTTACTATTGGCTGATGGAGGAGACAATGCCCCATTGCGTAACAGACTCACACTATATACCTTTGTTGGTCTTAAATCTGAGTTAAGTTCAGAGGTCAGTGAGAAATCTGTATTTTATACATACAGTCAGGGGAAAAAAAATTCGATATCAGATGTTATTTCGCTTTTCTAGATTTGGGTGCAGGACACTACTGTATAAATTGTTTATGTAAGTGAGGACAGCAAAATAATGTAAACTAACATTACACTAAAATGTACACAAAGTGTACTAAAGATTAAAAAAATTAACTGAAAAGCTGCTGGTTAATAGCAGCCTAGGAGACTACAGGGTGAGGCTACTGGTGGTCCAACAAAGTATTTAATAGTTGTGTAAATATTGTCAACAGTTGTTGCAATCAGTTTTAGATTGATTGGCATCCATTACGTATACGTATGTACAACTGTAAATTAACCAATAGCATATTTACTGACAAGGAAAATGCATAAAAAGGTCAAATTCATTAGGTAAATGCTTGTTTGTATTACATTTAACAACTCATACAGTTTGACCTTAATGAAAAAAGTGTTCTTATTAACAATATTCAACTTAGTTCACTGTACTTTCCATGGGCAGTTCAGACAAGACAGTAATCTTTTAAAATAGCAGTCATTTAACTAAAATATTGTGATGTTTTTTTAACCGTACTTCCCAGGGAGAAACAGAGGAAGAGCTATGTCCTGTTGTCCATTAAATGCTGTCTGAGCTGCGATCTCAATCCCATAATGCAATTCGAAAATGTATATAAATGGAAAAACACCCGTAATATGTGTAGTATGGAAAAATTCTGTTAAAATATACAGTCTTTTACCTGTTATTGTACAGAATTTTTTACAGTGTACTTTCATCTATATGATGAATTTGATTGGACATTTTAATATTAATTTTCTAATCAATAGTAATTTGAACAGTGGACGCTTTTTACATTTCTGGATTTCTCAGTAGCGCAAGTCGTCATAGTTAAGTACAACAAATATTTTTTTACAATCTTATTTGCTGAAATATTAAAAGAAAAACTCCATGATGGTGTTAGTAAGACTTTTAAAAATAGGAAAACAATTGGGTTTGAGAATGATAACAGCAGCCAGAAGAGAGACCAACATCGAATGTACTGTCCTGATGCTGACTACCAATTCCTTACACAAGCGGTAATTTATTGTTTGTATATTTGAAGCAAAAATGATATAATACATACATAAATATTCCCAGTGATGGGTTGCAGCAGAAAGGGCATCCGCTGCGTAAAACATATGCTGGATAAGTTGGTGGTTCATTCCGCTGTGGCGACCCCTGATTAATAAAGGGACTATGCCGAAAAAAAAATGGATGAATGAATAAATACATATGTACACATTTTTCTAAATCAAAATATTAAAAACTTTCAAGGATGAAGATGCTGATCACTGTTAAAAGCTATCATAACAGTGTTGTGAAAAGCATCCATGGTGATCACATCACGCAGAAGTATAATTCAGGTCTAACTGTGCAGGACACAGTTGCGATGTGGGTGACACATGGGTGTCAAAAGCATGTGAGAATGACAGCAACAACAACAACAAAATTGGACATGAGTTACTTTTTAGAGAAAAGTGTAATCAAAATCACGTTCTGTTCAAGGGCTGTTCAAGTCATTGAAATTCAGTTTTGTTTCAGATTTTGGCCTCCAGTAATTATGAAAAATCAAGATTAAAGATTATCTATTCCTTTCCTGCAGCCCATATTAGAATCACTGGTCCCCACCAATGTCCAAATCTAGCAAATCTACACCCTTGGCACCTGAACTAACAGTGTGTGCCGTCAAAAGTAACAGTTTGTTCTCAATCAAACTCTAATAATAATGCAGCTTTTCCAACTCTGGCACCAAACACACTACTGACTGAAAGCAAGCTGTCAATGCTATATACATTATACTGCACTCTCAACTGATTGGATGACAAATGCACTCAATTCCTCCAGGCTGGGGGTTTTCATAATGGCTCATCAGAATGTTCAAAATCATATTGACAGTTTCACAATATCTGCCCAGTTATATCTGCATTTGTTTTGTGTGCATTGATTTGCATATGTCGGCTGTTGATAAATAATCATTGATTCAATCTGTCTGGCTTATCTATAACTGTCCTCCTCTAGTGCTGGACTGCCCCATGACCCTGCAGAGCTCCCGCAGTCTGGACACCCTCTCTGACCTCAAACTGCAGCGTTTGGAGGCGGAGCTAGAGGGGGCGAGGCATGAGGCTCAGGGGGCGTGTCAGAGGGAGGAGGAGATAAAGGCTGAATGCGAGAGACTGAGGGAGGAGCTGAGGGAACTGCAGAGCAACCACAGACAGAGGGTCTGTAACACTCGCATACAAACACTGACGATGATGTCTTTAACATATACTAGACATATGACATATCTATACCAAAATAAAGATAACTATAAAACATTTTGTTGGATGTAAACAAAAACAATGGTCCCAACGTATTTCCTGTTTTACATTTTTAATTTCTATAGCTTCGGAGAATCCAAAGAGTCACATATTGATAAATAATGTTATGATAGCTGTTTTAACATGATTATGATTAAATTGCCTCATCCAGTTATGAAACAGTTTGATAGCAAGCAGGAAATATTTATTAGCCAATGATATGACCACATTGAAATGGTCTACATTAGCATCCACACCAATGCACCATAACTTTGTTTAGATTTGAGATGCCACAAGCTGTGTCGACTACCTTTATTAAGTCGATTATGTCAATATTTCTATCATTTATCAAAACTTTTTTGGAAAGTGACTCAAATTATATTGTTCCTCATCACTCTTAATAATTTAGAGTGTGTCTCAACCAGCAGCCCAGCTCTCGACATCATTTCCACCTCTGGTGTACTTGTAAGGATAGTGATGAACTTGGTTCACCACAAACTTGGACACACTGACTGGGACATGAGATTGTCCTTATTGTCCACCATAATATCTGGAACTAATAAATAACAGAAGAACTAATCATTTTCATATATAATATTTTACTTGATGTTTTCAGAGTACATTATTGCTAAATAATTTGATGGTTTCACACCAGCGATGTTTCAACGAATAAGCAATTATAAATATTTGCTAGATTTTTTTCTAACAGATAAGTTTGTTCATGCTAAAATTAAATAAATAACAGATTGTTTATAGGTAAACATCTCTTGTTTGCCATTGTGGTTGATGATAGGGTTCATATGATTCATATTTCACACATATAGTGCATGCATTGGGGGACTTTTCAGGGTGGGAACATTTCAGTTCATTGGAAAAAATTTACAATTGAGAAAACACTTAAAATGGCAGGCAACCTGATCAGTGCACTGACTACTGAACAAGGATGATAACTGAGAAGCATCCTTAATTAACGTGGATTCTACCATTTTAAATTTAGATTTAGGTTTTGATAAACAAGTTATTCATGAATTTATCTTCACTTGTGTGAATGTGGCCTTTAGATGAAATAAGATAACATTAAAAGCCCTAAGACATTTTAAAATTGCACATTTGATATTTGCCTTTGGAATAATGTCTGCAGAAATGTCTGAAATCTCGCAGTGATGTGTGACCTGGTTGCACTTCAGACTTTAAGCCATTTACAATACCATTTTTGAAAGAAATATATATTATAATCATGTACAAGCATAAAGCAGCACACTTTTATTTTTCGTAAACATCGAATTAAGATTTCTAAAGGACCATTTGACATTTAAGTCAGTAGTAATGATGTGGATAATTCAGCTTTGCCAACAAAAAAACAAATGAAATGTAAACAGAACATTTAAATTATAAATCACATTTCACAGCAATAGTTTTACCTGGATTTTGGATCAAATATATGCCGCATTAGAGACATTAAATCTTAACCTCTCACACTTGAAAAGAAAATAAGTTTTACAAACAATTTACACTGAACATAAGTTAATCCACATAAAAGTCTGAAAATCCTCTATGAAATTCCTCTCTTGCAGGACGTGAGCTCCACATGTGGACAGTGTGATGTGGAGTGGATAAAGAAAGTTGGAGATGAACAGTAAGTGTCTGTTGTCTTAAATCAAATATTACAGTTGTTGCTTTTTGTAAACCTGTTTTAAGTGTTGCTGCAACTGCACAGCCGGTTGTGTGGGCAAAATACATGTGCCAGTAGAGGGCAGTGTAAGTATTGGCAAGTCTCCAGATCACTTTCACGATCACGCAGAAGTGGTCTGAAGAGAATACAGGTGAACAGAAAGTAACCTGGTTGAAGTGAAATGGGGAGTCTTGGAAAGGAAGGTCACAGTAATGCCTACGTCTGTTTGCACCTCAGTTTCACACTCTACTCCCCCTCTCTGTTTGAACTGCTGGTTCTTGTAAGAGTCGTGATTTAACAGAAACCGGCCAAATGCTTTACTTGCAGTTACTCAGAATCAGGTAGTTTTTGGATGTTTTTGTTGTCTTTTCTGAAGGACGGGTTTCTTTGGAGGGAAAGTTAGATTTGTTTTCATTTTCATCACCAACGGTTGTAAAAGAGAGGAAAATAAGATTTGCAATTTAAATCACTTAGACGATTATGGCACAGGCAAAACAGATTTGATATCATTTTGGGGAAATTATTAGGCAACGATTACATTTTTTTGGCATATAATCAAGTTATTTATTTAAAACAAGGTATTTTATACTTAAACTTTTATGCTTAAAGTGTTTTTTGTAAATTATTAAAATTGTTATACCTTGTGTATATCTATGTAAATCTATAATATTTATTTTGTCTTTACAAATTACATGATGTAAATTAATGAAACCAGGTGTAGTAATTCAGGTTATGTATTCTGATATCTTTTGAAATGGTTTTAGCTATTCTTTGACCTGACGTGTTTATAACATAGATCTGAAAAGGATTATTGTTTTATTAATAAAGAATAAAGAGACATAAAATATACATCTTTGATAGTGACATAAATATGAAATAAAAGAAAGGGTTAATGAAAAGCTAATTAATTAAACATAAAATATATAAAATAAAATAATTACAATATATCAAAATCAAAAATAAATAAACTAAAACACTTAAAATCTCAAATTATATTCATTTACTTGCATGTCAGTAGAATTAACCAACATTAGAGAGTTTTAAACATGCAAATATGTTGTAAATCTACTTCTGTATTTTTGATCAGAGAGATTCAATTGTCAAAGAGTCCATAAATTATATGACGAAATATGAATAGACTTCAAAAAGGCTTGATATAGTCACATTCTTTCATGTTTTAAACACTTTTAACAGTTACTATATATCATTTATATTTTAATATAATATTATTTATTATTCATTCATTCATTTTCTTGTCGGCTTAGTCCCTTTATTAATCAGGGTCGCCACAGCGGAATGAACCGCCAACTTATCCAGCAAGTTTTTACGCAGCGGATGCCCTTCCAGCCGCAATCTCTGGGAAACATCCACACACACATTCATACACACTCATAATTTAGCCTACCCAATTCACCTGTACCACATGTCATTGGACTGTGAGGGAAACCGGAGCACCCGGAGGAAACCCACGCAAACGCAGGGAGAACATGCAAACTCCACACAGAAACGGCAACTGAGCACGGCAACTGAGCCGAGGCTCGAACCAGCGACATTCTTGCTGTGAGGCGACAGCACTCTCTACTGCGCCACTGCTTCGCCTCATTATTTATTACATTATTATTATTGTTAATGTCAGTTAAATATTACTGGCTGTTAATGTTTAGTAATTGGTTGCATAATCATTCATGTTGAATAACTTATTAAGAGGGGGCTTTTGTTTCAAAATGTTCTGTTTCTAAATGATATCATTTAGCTCAAAATGACAGTGAATCAATATAACAAATGTTTTCATTTTATGTGATTCAAACTATTATTTATTTAAATACTAATAATAATAATAATAATAATAATAATAATGATAATAATAATAATAATAATAATAAAAATAATAATAATAAATCCTTACATCGATATAGTTTTTTTTTCCAGACACTCAAAGCACTTTACACTTTTTTTTTTCGGGGGGGTCTCCTCATCCACCACCATTCTACCAATTTACTAAATATTGCTTTCTGACTCTTCTGAATTTAAAACATCAGTAATGTAAAAATGAAAATAAACATTTTTTGTTCTAGTATTTTGACCAATTTACGTTGTTAAAAATGCTCATTTTTTTCAATTATCTTTCAGAATAAAAAAAAGATATATTGTTTTACTCAACACACAACTACAAATCTATAAATCATAATCCCAGAGGAATTTTCATGATCTCTTTTATGTTTTTCCATATACAAATAAAAAAGTAAAAAGAATGGCCTTAAAGTAGGGGTGCCCAAACTTTTTGTTGTATGAAGGGCCAAACACCAAATATCACAGAGAGCCGTAAGTCAAAGGTAAATATACCAAAACTAAAGTTGCCATGAGTAATTTCTTAATTTATCTCATATCAAAATAAATAGAAAATAATACTTCAAATCATATTAACTAATGCAGTTTAACTTTTTTAAATTAGAACTTATTGCAATAAAACATAAACAATCCCATTTATAACACAGTGGAGTGCAACGATACTCAGGTCAAGCAGAATTTGTCTTTGACTTGATTTGCTCTTCAAATTCTCTGCATTGTCAGGTGACAGAATATGCATTTGAACATACATTTTAAAACAAATCAAGAGTTTCATGAAATTTGAATCTCAAAACCAACCCAATCATTCTCCCTCTCTTCTCAGATGGGATGACAGGCCAAATCAAATGTTACCATGGGCCAACGTTGGGCCCTAGTTTGGGCATCACTGCTCTAAAGAGTTAAAGAGTTAATATCATTTAACATGTATTTGACTTTCATTGAGATGCTTGGTTTAAAGTACGTTATTGAGCAAAAAAAAAAAAAAAAGATTTGAGCACTTGATAAGTGCGTTTTGCAATTATTTTTAAAATGCTGCTTGCTGAGCTAAGCTGCTTATTTGTTCTGATTGCATAGTATTTATCGTCTGCAGCGTGGGCTGTGCTCATTAGCTTATTTGGCTGGTCTGTAGTGAAGTTTAGCTGAAAGAGAGAAGCTAAAACCCATATAGCTGGCATTTGTTAGCATAAGGACGGTGAATATTATAGATACTAGTTTCAGACCAAAGGTCAGACATCGCTTTAGCAGCCCACATACACATCCCTCCTACACTGGATCATCATCATCAAAATTCGCATAGAAATCACACATACACAGCCACCCACACTGACTTTTTTTGCATTTTGTTCTTTTTGTACTTAATAGCTCTGCAGCTGCTCAACAAAAGAACTTTTTCATACTTCAAGGATGACGACTTTACCCTTTTATATAATATATTAGATATCAATATACACAGGAAGATTGAAAAATAGATTTCAAACAAACAACAGTTCATTTAGGCTGACACATCATCAGTCATGGATGTATGATAATCATCAAGGTTTTATAAAATATGTTTGCTAACTGTGATGCAAAGAGAAACTTTGTCATCAGATGAGCTTTATCTGATTGAACTCCCAATTCGCAACAATCATCTTAAATATGCATACACTACATTTTTGCTCACCAAGTCTGCTTTATTTCATTAAAAATATTGTACAAATTATAAAATTGTGAAATGTTATTGCATTATAAAATAACTGTTCAAAAGTATTTTAGAATTTAATTTAATGATTTATTCCAGTGATTTTAACATGATCGTTTCAGAAATCACCCTAACATTAATTATTATTGTTATTATTTCTTATTATTACTATTATTATCATCAGTAATATTCAAGGCTTGACAATAGCATAACTAAAAAAACATAACTTTTTTATCTCCAGCCACTTGGGTGAGAAGATTTCTAACAATACTAGCCACTCGCCATTTTCACTAGTCACAATTTTGTTATTGGAAAAATATATTTTATATGCATAAAATTGGTTTTGGCATGCTAAAATGGCTTTAATTTCGACTGTGTTCTGTCCAAACGACGACTCATTCATTTCACGTTTTTTGTTGTTGTGTATGACCTTGCATAATGTGCATGAGCAAATGGGTTATGGTTTCACAGTTAGTTTTTATTTCACATGGTTAGTTTTTATTTCACATGACTTTTCAGGGCTCCACCCTGGGATTTACCAAATTTATCTCTGACCACACTAAAATAAATAATTATTTATTAGCCACAAATTTTAAATAATGTCAAAACACACACAATATAGCTGTATACACTGCTCTTTTTATTCAATAAAAACCTTTAAAAAATTGACATTTATAAAAAAATTTGTGTCATGTATCTAAAACTATGCACACTAGTCTGTCCTGGCTAAAGTTCTCTCAGATCACCATTTACACATACTGTAAAAGGGGAGTTTATATCCTATTAAACCAATGGTATTGTAAAAATGATAATTAAACCATATTATTATTTTTTTTTATTTAAATCACATTTAAGTCACCCTTATTAAATATTTAAAAAATACATTTTTAAAAAACTTCTGGAGCTCTTGAAAGCAGCAGGACTGTGGGTGCACGAGCATCACTTTTTGTCCAGTCTATTTCATAGAAAACCGATTGCAGCAGTTGTGTTTCCAGGCACCGTTGCTACGCGCAAGGAAACAATCGCGCACATCACATCACCTTTGTGCGCGAGTAATCATCCTCTCATTCGGTATTCTAAGATCACATTTGCACGCATATCAACCGCCATAGTGGCTAGTGGAGTGTCTGTCTAACTCGCCACAGCTGAAATTTATCCACATTTAGCTGGTGTTAATGTCAAGCCCTGTTAATATTATTATTATTAATGGCAATAGTAATAAAAGCAAAAATGACTGGAGTAATTATTTAATTTGAAACTACAGACAACATTAAATACATTTTAAATTAATTAATGAATTAATTCATTAAATAAAATTAACAATTCAACATCTTTTTTTACATTTAATGAATGCTGCCTTGATGAACAGAATAATTTTCTTTAAAAAAAAACACTAACTCCAAACTTTTGACCGTGTATATTAGTTAAACGAAGA